CATGAGCTTTACAAACAACTCTCACAACATATTCAGTTCATTTAGGTGCCCGTTTCCTTTCTTAGTGGGAGAGTGGAATTCACAGCAGGATTTATCGAACCTTCTGTACTTTCTTTCCTCTTACCTTTAAGGAGACACCATGGCTAACTTTCCAAAAAAATACCTACTTAAGTGAAAAAAGCAACAAAAAAAAAAGGGTTTTCCTGCTCCCATATGTGGACTTAAAGATCTGACCCTTAGCGCCGGTGAGAGCTGTCAAAGCTGAGATTTGACATCCTTGAGGTGAATGGTGGGGCAGTAATGGAAGAGCAGAGGTAAGCACTGCTGTCTTGCAGAGTACTGAGGCTCTTGCTTCACTTCCAAAACTGCGTGGAGTTTGTATGTTGCATGTTCTCTCCGTGTTTGCATAGGTTTCCTCCGGGCGCTCTGCTTTCCTCCCACAGTCCAAAGACATACTGACAGATTAATTGCTTCTGGGAAAACATACCCTAGCACCAATGGTTGAGTGCTTGTGTCTGTCTGCCCTGCAGTGGACTGGCATCTGTTTAGGATGTACCCTGCCATTCTCCCTTTGCTTGCTGGGATAGACTCTGGTTCCCCTGCAACCCTGGGTCGGAAGAAGCAGTTAGAAAATGGGTGGCTGGATCTGCAGGGACACTCGTACTGACCACAGAAGCCAAAAGAGAAGTGATGGAAAGAGCTCAGCACACGCGCCAGGAGCAAGGCTCTTTAATTGTCCTTTCAGGACAGACTCACCTGCCTATTGCATACCAATTCAAATATCAGACATGAAAACACACATGAAAACTGGAACAACCTTTCACGCCTGCAGTGTGACCTGTACCGGTCTGTTCCAGGGTCTTCGTTACAGGATTTCACAGGGCCCAGCTGTCTCTTGTGTAGAAGGCTAGACGTACATGATCATCACAAACGCTAATGTGCAGACTCACCTAAACTGCCATCTCATTCCTTTCTTCTCTAACTTCTGCAGCTAGACCATTTTCTTACCTGTCATAGTCACCAACACCTGAAGATTTGAAATCCCAAACACAATCCATAGAAATAGATGTTAGCTAGGAAAAAAAATATCTTTTCATTTATTCACATTATCCATTTCAAAAGAATTGACCACGAAGGCCATCAAGATATGCTAAAACAGAGCCTCACCGGGTTCACAATCAGCAGCCTTAACCAGAGAGATGCATGAGACACAAAAAAGTACAAAAGGGTCAGACACAAACATGCTGTATCTGGTATAACTTAGCTTTGCACACCATGAACGGCATGATGCAGATGCTGATATCATTTCACGAGAAAAACAGTCACTTCTACCATTGTTACAGATTCTCACTTTTGCATCACGACATACTACACAGTTAAACAGTCAGCCTCATGAGTCAAATGCAGTGCACTGACAATAGAACACTTTGTACAGATGGTGGTGGGGAGCTGGAGTTTTTACAGAGAGCAGGATCAAAGGCTGGCAGCTTCGGCTGCAAAACTACAACCCATCAGGGTAACATGATGGCAGGCAGCTAAAGACAAACTTGATTTCAGTAAGTTATACTACAGCACTCCCAGCATACCCCCTTGGAGAAGAGCTCACCTACTGCAGCCCTGGTCAGCATTAACTTAAGATCAAATGTCAGGCAGCTGCAGTTCAAGCCTAGTCTACTGTTAAAATAGGTACCAGATGAAGTGCTGCAGAACAGCACACAAAGATGACACTTCGACAAAGGCGAGATAGATTAGAATTCACAATCCTGGATGGCAATCTTCAGAAAGGGCAACATGATCCATTTCATTCCATTATTTCATAACTTGCCAACATCATCTTGTTTATACAGGGTGTGCATTAGCGCTTTAGGCCATGTAGTCTACGTTCAAGTTGATTTGAAAACTTACTGACGTCCACTGTATTGACAAAATAAAAGTCAGTCTAGATGTTTCTCCCCATTTTCTCTGAGGATGGGTGCTAACTTTCAGGAGGAGAAATGAAGCAGAAACAATTTTGAGAACACAATAATTTAAGTGGCATTGCAAACCACCCGGTCTGAGGTGAAGAATATTATAGGACAGCTCTTGCATATTTTGTCTCCTTTGTTTTTGTGGTGATATGCAAAGCAAATAACACGTCCCACCTGACTGACTTCAATGTAAAGGATCACAGTGTGAGCCTGGTCTTTGCTAGGAAGAAGCTATTGCTCAATTATCCCTCTTGCACAAACATATTACACCTCAGAGTCAGGGAAATGTCACAGGAGCTGTGCAGATCCCTGTAGGCCCAGACAGAGCTGCCTCATGAAGAAGAGCTTGCTTTGAAAGTCAAAGCAACAGGCAGCCAAGAACCAGGTGGAGCATTTGCATGCTTAACAGGGGCATTTCAGCTGGATCAGGGGGAACCCTCAAGTCTGAAAAACAGTACTTATAGGGACCTTTCAGCTAATAAGCCTTTTGTAAGTGAAGCAAGGTGTGCTATTCTTCCATTGCTGCCCTGGATTGACTGAAAGAATGCAGTCATAGAAAATCCCAATATCCCCCAGGCATGGCTATCAACATCCCTGTGGGGTGCACTGCGTCTCTTCAGCCTGGCCACTGTACATGCACTGGTGTCTACCTTCCGTTCTTGACCACAGTGGACTCAAGTCATACTGGCAACAGAAATCTCAGTCCTGTTGTTATCCAATCCAATACCTTCTGACCAATGAGATCATGTGAATATCGACATCATTGGCTTAGCCATCAGTTTCCTCCCTGCAATATGTTTAAGTTCAAATTCAGGGCGTTTCGTCAGCAGGTGTAACTGCAACCCCCCACAGCCAAAGAAACGTTTTTTGCGATGTTCAACCTAATACCATAACACAGACAGACCCATCTACAACAACATACAATAACAGCCTTTAAATTCCCTTATTTACAAACAGGCAAGGTTTTGAGTCAGCAGAAGTCAGGCTGCAATCACTCCCAATGCATTTAAGGTCTTGGGGGCCACAGGCTGGTGTGTGAACCATAGTGACGAAAGAGAAAAAGAAACGTATGTGTTTATCACTATTTTCGTGCCACGCAGCATGCAAATGTACTCCAAATAAGGTGGCAAACATTAAATATTAAGCCTGTTTCTCAACTTTGATACTCACAAGATGTTGAACTTGAAGAAACCAGAAACAGCCCAAGCTCATTTCTCAATGAGGTCTGCTGGGAGCACCCTGGGCAGTGTCATGAAGTTCAGACCCCTAATCTTATCCAACCCTGAGCACTGCTGCCAGAGACAGACCCTCTGCTTCAGCATGGGAAAGACTGGGAAGCAACAGCAAATCAGTACTGGTGTAGCTGGAGGGGACAATGTCCTGCTCAAAAAAGTAGTGAATAACCTTTTACCAGAACAGGGTGCCAGCATGCATGTCCATAATGATTTATGATGTTGCTTTCTCTTCTGTAACACTTATAAAAGGGCAAGAAGCTCATTTAACTTGAAAGGGTGTCCAAAGCTACACAACGGGTGTAATACGCACATCCCCACTTGAACTCCCCTCCCCATATTTCTTAAAAATGGATATAGCTCTACATAATCAGCCAGGGACTTGGAAAGCAAAATCTCTGTGTCCTAGAAATAAGAGCCAGTATTAACTTGCTCTCTTTCCCTTGACAGATGTGCTTGGAAAGGTGTCGTCACCCTTCTCTTTCCTCACAATATCAAGGTGGATCTCTTTTATAACAAGGTCAACACAGGAGCATCTGTTTTTAGTCTCTTCCACTACTCTCGAGGGAATCGGTGCTTTCAGAATGAATTCTAGGCTCTTTGAGGACCAAGGCATTCAGCATAATGAACAACTATGGGAACCCTTAGCAGTGGCCCAGACAGATTACAGCCTAATAAACAAGTACAGTACAATTCACAGGTTGTGTGTCGAATTATTCCAATATTCAATCCAATTGTCCTGACACGGGGCCTGATAATTTGTTCAGACTCTTATCCATGTAGTGACAAGCATTGTACTGAGCAGGCATTTAATTTCTCAGTCTTGTATGAGCACTGCTGACTCCCACATGTGAAGATCAGACTGCAGTTATAAAGCCCACTGTCAGAGGGGTAGACAGTGCAAACTGCAGTCTGTATCACTTTCTCCATGGTAATTCATTACATGACAGCTAGAGAAAACATATAATGTCCTGTAAACTAGTGCCAAAGGGGCAAAACACTGTCTAATATATAGGTCTGGGTTACACAAGGGAAATACAAATACCCAGCATGACAGTCACCTTGAAAGAGCCAGCAGCCTGTGACTATACTCCTGCACAGAGCAGGCAGATCGGCTAAGTATGTACGTGACTCAACTGAGAGAGATGGGCATCAGCCTTAAAGCACCTTTCATATCTCAGCCTCTGACTGACAATTACTTGACTCTTTCCACCTCCTCAGCCTGCATTGAATCTCTCCGGAAAACTGCAACCTTAAAGACAACCATTTCACAAACAGAGAACACTTTTTTCTACAAGGCTCCATCTTTTGAAACTGATTGTCACCTGGAGTGTAACCCACTACTGACGCCTTAAAGCTCATCTACAGTTAGGATGATAAGGCTGAGCTCACCTTTATTCGCATAAAAACTGCTCGATGATGAGCGGTCTGTCCTGAGTTTAATGTTCTTCCCGTTAATTGATATGTTAAACTGTGACTAGTTGTGTGGCAGCGGGGAGCTGCATTCATTGCGAGTACAAATTGTTTTGGACCCTAATAATAGCTCCACAGGTCTTGAAACAAAACTGTCACGTTAACGCATTTACGCTTCGTAATGACTGCGATCCGACCGACTCCTCGCTCACAACGGCTCCTTGCACTGCAGCCATCAACCGCAATGGGGAAAGCGGAGAGGGCGATATTAAAAGTTTAAAAGCAGAGCTACATGGCAACCTGCGTCGAGACCGACGGTATGCACTTCATTAAAAATCTGTCTTTCCAGCCGCGGCGAAGGCGAGCTCAATTAGAGCGCCGCACTTACCGCTGTGTGCGCTGAACCACCTGGGCGCAATGTGGAGAGGCAAGGTGTCTGCTAGCGACGCCCGGGGTCCAAGATAAAGCATGCCGTCCGTGTGGTGCCCTGCGCCTGTTTCCTGGTACCCGTTCCCGTGTGCCGCGTCGGATCCAGACCCTGCCCCGGCTCTGTCCGTGTCCCCAGTCCCCCGGCCGCCATAAAATCCAAACGGCACCGCGCCGGTGGGGTCTATCCCCATCCCGGCCACAGAGCTGACCGAACGGCTGCGCAGCCCCATAGCGCCGCCCGCTCGGTAGTGCCCGAAGTGGGCCGCGGGTGGCACCGCACTGTCATCCGTCGACACACCCGGAAAACCTCCCCGGGGCCGCCCCGCTGTGCTCTGTTTGCCCCCCATTCACAGCTCCCAAAGAATGGGGAGGGGTTCAATAAAGTACGGGTCTTTTTTTAAAAAAAAAAATCGAGAGCCGGCAGATAATTCGGTCCCTGGTGCGCCCCTGTTAATGGACTAAAACAGCCCAGGTCCGTTACCGCCGGTGACAAACAAGAGGCAAAAAAAAAAAAATCCCAGCTTGTCAAGTCTGCCTGAACCAGCTGTGTCTAACCAATGTTACAGCGCATTCCTCCAAACCAAACATGAGCGAGTTTAAAGGTCCCAGTGCGCCCAGAAAAAACAACGATGGTGAGAACACAGGGTCGCCTCTTGCCTTACCAACAGCAACAAACCAACAAAAAAAAGCAACACGTTTCCCCCCAAAATAAAAAAAAATAAACAGCCTCCGCCACCCAAAAAGCAGGGGGGGAAAAACTCAGAAAAGCAGCAGGATTTTCCCCTTTTTCACAAGTGTTGCTCAGTTCAGCGAACCATGACAACCGCAGCAGTCGGTATCCCTGCTCCCCTGCTACAGCGTGTATCGGTCTCAGATTTATTTTATGCCCCCGCTGTCGGGTCAGTGTGTGCCGCTCCCCTCCGCTCTCATGCTCGCAAGGTCCCCGAGCTTCTCCTTACATTGCTGGTCGGAGACAATAGAAGCGCTCACTGCGCATACGCGGATTAAAAGCGTGGAGATAGAAAAGGCAGACGCTTAACCGTGTCACTGCTGGGCATCCGCTAACAGCCGTCTGCTCTGCGTCTGGTAACGACTTCACAGCTAAGAGTTTTGGCGCGGTGGGGGGAGTCAGGAAGAGGACCGAGGATCCTATTCGCCGCAAGACGTACACAGACGATAGTTTCTGAAAACGGATCTCCAAAATCGTGGAGGGATTTTGGAGTGACGCCAGTATCCAAAGCGTCTCGTATTGCGAAATCTTAGTTCTAAAAATAATTGACGAATCATTTATGTGAACCCGAGATCAGGACGCCTTAAACGACCTCATAGTTCTTTCCAAGAATCCATCAAAAACCCTTTGAGGATATATAGTTTATAAACATAATCACTGTTTTTTGTTATTTGAACATACTGCTTTGCCAGGCCTGGGACTGGGAGAGACCTGGTTCAAGGACAATCCTTCAAGGATAACAGGTTCACCCCATGTTTTACTAGGTGCAAAAAAGTGCAAATAGTGTTTCAAATGAAAAGCACTGTAACTCTGTAAGGAAATACATATGCTTCACAGTCTTTACCTTTTAATGTTTCCACACAGTAAATATCCAGATTTCACATCTCTTTCTTGTGGGCAGTTTAAAATCATTTTATATGCTTTTTCCAGTCCGTGATTACGCTGTCCAGCAAGTACAAATGTAAAACACAACTGCTGTTACAACTAAAATTGACTTAAGAAAGCGTGTACAAATGTACCTACAGCCTACATTATATGAGAGCAAGCAACCCTGGTACATCCTATCCAGACAATTGCAGGACTTTTAAAATTTCCAATGAATTGTCTACAAATGGATTCCAAATTGTTTAATTATCCCAGGTACTGAAGATCACCTTGATAATTATGGCTTAACCGGAGCACAGGTGGCAAAGGCGACCAGCCTTGGCTATCTGAACAAACCATACCCATGCTTTATCCAGGAGGCAACATCTGTATCCAATTAATATCTCACACGCAAACTCCCCCTGGTAAACAGCCTGATCCCAGTTCCTCGCATTTTTCAAGTTCTGGAAATAGCCCACCCCCAATTAAACTAGGAATATCGGTCAAGAACACCCCCTGTTCCATGGTAGCCCCTCCTTCTCCCTAGCTTGGGCCTCAGACCACTTCCTCAGTGGACACTTAGTGTGAGTGTCAGGGGTGTGGGAGTATAATCATACTTCTATGGCCCAGCTGTCATTAACACAGTCGCAAATTATCTCCGACTGATCACTTGCTGACCCACTGGCTGCTGTGCTGTATTGTAGTTTTGCTGTGCAGCATCAGCACTGCATCAGGGCTGGGCTGTATCTGTGCTTTATGTTGTCAGTGCTGTTTTTTACCAGTACTGTGCTGTATTGAAGTGATACTGTGCAGTAGCAGTGCTGAATTTTATCAGTGCTGTTTTGTATCAGTGCTGTGTTGGTGCTGGACTTTATTGGTGAGGTGCTGAATCGGTTTTGTGCTTTATCTGTGCTGTGTTTCATTAATGCAGTGATGTATTGGTGTTGTGCTTCACTGCTGTCTTGTATTAGTACTGTTATGTAATGGGGCTATAGAGTACTTCACCAGTATCGTATTGTTTTTCTGTGCTTTTAAGAAATACCACAGCACAGACAAAAAATCAATGGGGAAACAAGAGAGTAGTGTAGGACAAACAACATTATGTAAGGAAGTAACATTGAATTAAAAATACTTACAGCACCACAAAGACCTATTGTATTAACATTAAGAAGATACTTACATCAATATGCAAAAACACTCATGGCTTTCTGCATTAGTTCATTAACTTTGATGTTTTTGAAACTTCAGTAGTCTTTTATATTGTGCATTTCCTTTCTGTTTATTTCTGTACCATTGCAGACCTTGTCAGAAGGGAAACTAGCAACATTGTCACCACTTGAAAGGGTATAAAAGTACCCCATTACCACTTATAAGCAATTGCAATACGTACACCAATCCCTGCAAAACAGAGCCTCACAGTGGACAAACCTGCAACTACAGCTATTAGTTCTTTTATAGACAGATATCATAGGTACTGTGGCTGTAGAGTATGCATGTAATCTGGAGACTGCACAAAACTACATCCAGTAGTATTGTAGCTTTAGATCTAATTTGAACCATAATTCTCTATTTACATTTGTTTGTGTTGTGACAGGCAACAGTGAGGGTCTGATCTGTGTAGCACAAAGTGGATCTATGAATGGCAGACATGTATATAAGAGCTACAAGTTCTAACAGATTTCTGCATACATTCTAGAATAAGGAGGTACTTTGTATTTTTCAAGCTAATGCTTGGCACCTTTCTGCACCACAGCAAGGAAGATCACACGGGACAATACAAAGCCATTGAAGGCCTTTCGTGACAAGATGTGGACAGCTCATGTGGCAGAAACAAACAAGGTTATGTTTCTGTAAAGTGCTGAAACTCAATGAATCATATAGCAATAATGTTTAACAGAAACAGGAGGGGGGGAAGAATTTTGGTCATTTAAATGTGTGATTGTTCTTGTGCAGTTCTGCCATAAAAGCTAGGCCGTGGTCTGTTCCTACTTTACTCATTCAATCATTTTACTGCTGGGCACGTGCAGCTTGTGCAAGGATAAAATGTCCTGCAAGACCGTGCTAAACAGCGGAAATAAATCTACCTAAAAGATGTTTCTCCAGCGTGGTTCCCGGCACCTTAATTGGAAATCTTCAACGTGATTCTAGCCTCTGTCCAGCAATCACAGTGAAGACCCTCTCAGTGTAAAGACATCCATACTTGTACAGGCGCCATTCTTCAGATTGCTGGAATGGCTGTGGCTGTTTATTTATAAATTAGAGAGATTGGGTAGCCTGTACTGAAGGCACTGAAACAGTGAGGTGTAGTGCAGAGCACTTTAACAACAACAGTTCGTCAACAGGGGCGGTCAGGCGCCTTGTGTGTGCTGTTCCGAATTGCTCCGTATTTGTCATAAAAAGGGATGTTAGAGTTACACCACATATTAAACACAGCCTTAAAAGGGGCCTTACAAGGGAATCACTCCATCCTTTCATTTTTTAAGGCAAGTCCACTGCAAGGCACACGCACACTCTCACCAGCTCCAAGTTACCAAGATGCAAATTAATTTACTGGACTGTGGGAGGAGTCTAGGTCAGCCAGAGGAAATCTATGCGAACATAGAGAGAAAATACGAACAGATAGCACCCCCCAGCACCAGAATGTCCTATTTATTGGGGTGCAGAAGAAAGGGTCCTCCCCTTGATCTGAAAGAAAAGGTGCCTGTGTGGTTCCGTGACAAGAGAGGACATGTCCAGCCTCCTGTTGCTGGAGGGTTTATTGTGCCTTGGAGGAAAAAATGAAATAATCTTGACTATTACTGGCCTGGTAGTCACAGAATGTACTGGTCTGAAAGCTTCATCTATTTCCCAGAATGCAATTCAAAGTGCAGAACTCTCTGTGGCCACTTTCCGATATCTTGTATTCTTTCTGAAGTTTTAAGTTTCTTACATGCATCTTAAATGCAATGGAATATCTAAAAAAACGTACACTGGTCGCTGAGTTCAGTTTTTATCGGCTACTTACATAAAACCATAAAAATACAACCATACTATTTGAGTTCAAAGTAAAATAATTGCACTTCTACAAACCTAATATAAGCCGAATCGCTGCCTGGCCAGGGGGCTATGCTACTGACTTCTGGTTGCTGATTATTGTTGTGTTTTTGTTGGAAAATGTATAAGACGAAGGATATTTGGACAATTTGAGATAATTTATAGTATTTCCGGTATATAATAATAACAACAATAACAACTACTTGTATTATTTGCGACATGCGTGCCTCGTCAGCAGTCTGAATTTGTAAACGCCTTCAGTGCTGCACTTTAGGTCGTCTCAGCCATCCGTCGGCCGGCGCGCTCGGAGCTCCACTGCTGCTGTCTGAGGGGGCGGGGATAGCGGCCCATTCAAAGCGCCGCGCCAAAGCAGATCGTCTTGGGGTTTGGGTTTGTTGATAAGTTTGACTTTCCTCACAAGCTGCAAAATAACTGCTTCGGAATGGCGACCCAATCTTATACGCCAGTGCCGCCCGGCGTGGGGATGGAAGATAATTTTCTTTCGCTCGACGACATTCTCCTTTCTCAAGAGAAGCTGCCGTGCCGGACTGAAACCGCCTTCCCCCGGCTGGGCTTCCTGGAGAAGTCCGGCGACACCGGGGACATCCAGGAGGTAAGCGAGAGAACCGCGTTGATCCCACAAAAACCGTTTAAAACAGTATTTAAACCCAAATCTGACCGGTATTGCAGCCATGTGCATTGTTTTAGCGCTCTGTGTTGACATTTCTATGAGGGGGAAGGACAGTGATCGGCCGTGTTTATTGCACATGATTGCCCGAGCTGTTCATGCTGTAAATGCAGTACAGTAGATAGTTGCAAGACATGTTGAATATGTTGATCAGGCGCTGGCACTGAGATACATATGAAATTGTACTAATGACATGATTTAATCCCGCACCTGTAATTTCTTTTTATGTACTCGTACAGTTGACCCTCGATTTAGAGACTCCGACCTTGCAGAATTTAAGCAGGGGGTCGGCCGCGTACATAGACCTCAGTGCCAGTCAGTTACAGGACGATCCTGGCGCTCTGTGTCGGATTGAGTCTTTGAGATGTTAGTAGTCAATATTTTTGACAAGCACGTTTATGTTTTATTATCCTCACCTTAAGGAAGAGTTGAAACATTCTACCAAAATTAAGCGAAATCGAATGAAAAGGTGATAGGAACTATAAACTAGGGGAAGATTGTGAAATAAATATTTATTAGTGAGAGTTTTAAAACTTACGACAAGGTGATTTCATATTGATATTCTACTGATTGTTGCTGGGTACTGAGATTGGTTCAGATAGAGATCTTGGGAAGTTTAATTTAATCTTTTTCAAGGCCTTCTTACATACTTGTCCGACCTGTACATTTCCACGCCACAGTCTTGAGGAGAAATGTGGTTTGTGGGGGTTTTCCGAGCTCCTGGCTGTAGAGAGTGTGCAGCGCTAGATCTGTCCGGTGTCTGTCTGGTCCAGGGGACGAAGATGGAGATGCCCCTGTGGCTGGCCAAGGGCCTGTACGACTCCAAGCGCCGGGTGGTGGCGGTGGACCTGCCCAAGGTGTACCGTGAGGGCTGGAGGACCGTGTTCGGCGCAGACCCCAACGTGGTGGACCTGCACAAGATGGGGCCCTACTACTATGGCCTGGGCTCCCAGCTGCTGCACTTCGACAGCCCGGAGAACCCCGACATTGCTCAGACAGTGTTGCAGGTAAGGGGCAGGGATCATGCACACACCCATAACCTTGTGCATCAGTCATGAGAATGTTGCCATGGTGTCTGAACTGCAGTTTTCAACAGTAACTAATGCAGGGAGTATATTTGCATTATTGCATGAGCTATGCACTTCAGTTATTGTTGAAGGTGTGACACTATACTGCCCCAGTTTTAATATCCTTGTTTTTAATGATAAAATTGCATTCTGCAGTATTGCCTGTGTTCGTTTGGGTTGTCTGTGGATGTGCATGTTTCCTCCTGTAGTCCAGAGACATGCTGTCTGGGTTAAATGACATCTCTAAAATATACTGTATGCAGTACTTGTATGTGGCGTGTGATGGACTGGTATCCTGTTCAGGGTGTACTCCTGCCTTGTGCCCTATACGTGCCAGGTTAGGCGTGATCTGCAAGTTTAAAGCAGTTACTGAAAATGAATGGAACTCACGATGATGAATAATTCAGAACAACTCTCAGTGTAAAATGTCCTCTGACTGCTGCCTATTCTGAGTTATTCCCTGTGACCAATTTACATCCGTCGCATGATTGCAGAATAAACACAATTTGAAATGCTTCCCAGGAAAAGGATATCTAGTCATTTTTAAACAGCTTTGTGGGGAATCTGCAGCCTCGGGATGCCCTACAGGGCAAGACTGCCCTTCAAGGACCTGAAAAGAGGTCCTGTTGGTGTGCCTTTAGAACAGAAGGTGGGAAGCACCTCTGTACACAAAGAGTGGCGGGTGTCTGAAGGAGCCTGGTTACTGGGGGCCACTCCCTGGGGGAGGTTCAACACTTTTATTAATGATAAAAAAAATATTTTTATCAGATCTTATTCTAAATGAGGTAAATATCCTAGTGGTCCCGTAGTATTTGGAAGCAGACCAACGACTATAAATATCCCCTGAGAAGGTATAAGGGACAGAAAATATTTTAATTCAAATACTTTTCATAAAAAGAAATTGAAATGGAGATGATATAAATCACCCAGCCCTGCCTGGGAGTCTTCAAGATGCAGCCAGGAGAGACCCTTGGACTCGTGATCTCCAGCAGCCAGTCGAACAGGGTGGGCTCTAATGCCTCCTTCGTTTTTAACCTTATTTCTTTGATCCAGCGAAGGCTTGATGATTGAAGTAACCTTCAGCAGCAGGGTTAAAGAAAGACGTTTATATAAGCATCACCTTAACTGCCAGGATGAGAGCTGAATGGGTCGAAGGGAAGAAACTGCATTTGCCTGTACTCTGACCGTGGTCCCCAGGGCCTGCCTGTGGGAGACCAACAGTCTAATAACTGTCAGTTTTGTAATGAATAAAGCTTTACAATTCATTCTTATTGGCTTTGGCTGAGGTTTCCAGCACTTACATAGCAAGTGTCTGTCTGTTTTGGGTAAGAATCTCAATGCTAGGTATGTGTAATACCTAGCACAAGTCTGTTCACTGATATTCTGTGAACAGATTTTACCCCACTCTGTGTCATTTTCTAGAAATTGTACTTCTGTGATGTTAAATGCACTGCATTTGATCACCTGTATATTTCCACTGATTTATATACAGTATATTAGAAGTGCAAGGTATGCCTTCACAATTTTACAGGCTATTTTACTTCACAAGAGCCACCACAAGATGGCGCCACTTCAGTACACTTACAATGACATTGAACAGTGTTGCTGGGCAGATTTGAGCTCCAAATCTGTTTCTGGGAGCTTTTGTCATAGTTTTTCCTCAAAATTGATTTTCCAGCCCACTGTCTTAATCTAATGACAGAGACCAGCTTAGGGAAGAGGATTTTTATATATTAGAATGGTGACTATGAAATGGTTTGCTTTTCTTACCGTTGCCAATTTAAGTTTTAAGCTTTGTATTTTAATGCTTGAGCTGAGGTGGCTCTGTGGTTAAGGATCTGTGCTTGTGGCTGGAAGGTTGCCAGTTCATATCCAGCGGACGGTAGAGGAATCCTACTCCGTTGGGCCCCTGAGCAAGGCCCTTAACCCCAGCTGCTCCAGGGGTGCCATATAAATTGCTGACCCTGCGCTCTGACCCCCAGCTTCTCTCCCTGTCTGTGTGCCTCATGGAGAGCAAGCTGGGGTATGCAAAAAAGACAAATTGCTAATACAAGAAATTGTATATGGCCAATAAAGTGATCATATTTTATCTTTTTCATTTTTTTAAGTGAGTGCCCCCTACTGTTATGTCTTGGAGTAGCAGCCTTGTTTTGTTTATGATCTCACATTCCTGTGCTGACCAGGTTTAGCCTGGTATAGCTGTTGAGATCTGCTTTATTTTATTCAACATGCCTTGGAGAAAAGGATAATACAGGAGAACAAATAAAATTGGTTATTTGGAAACTGATTCTAAAAGTAATTATACCATTCTCTCTTCTGGGTGTAATTAAATATTAAATAAATATAAAATGTGAGTTGTTTACTCATTATATAGGCCAAGTGTCTTCCATGCTTGTGATATAGTGCAGTTGTGATGCTGAGAGTTTTAAAATATAAATAATACATTTTATGTATATATAGCAAAAACTGCATACATGTAAAAACAGCTTACTTTCTTTAATTTACAAGTTGAATGTAGCTATTCAATTGAAAGGCAACCAGATTTTTCTAAATGTAAAAAACTTGGTTCCATGTGTATGAGCTGTGTGTTACAATCTTGCAGAGTATATTTTGGGCAGAAAAATTCAAATTTGACATAATGATCAATAAACACTTTGTATAAGCAACAATGTGCACAGATACTGCAACGAACACTAATTGCAACAATGGTATCTGTTTTCACTTGAGACATTTTTTTTGCAATCCCAAATCTCTCTGACTTAATTTTTTAATTTATTTTGGACTTCTTAAAATTTGCATTAATAGCTGTTTAAAAATGGCTCTAATGTCCGGTGCGATCTCCAGCAGTAGCTTTCTCCCATTATGTGGCACGCCGTGTCTTCAGCCTAATCCAGACAAGGACAGTAATGGGCTAGTTTTCCCGGACATGCGGAGTTCTGTTTCTCCTCTCCTGCCTCCAGCCCACACTGTGTCTGTTTCACCGACAGACGTTCGTCAGGCGCTTCCGGCGGATCATGGACTCCTCCCAGAACGCCTACAACGAGGACACGTCCGCGCTGGTGGAGAAGCTGGACTGCATGGAGAGGAGCTTGTTCCGCTCCGGTCAGGCCGGCCTCCACGACTTCCAGCGGTGGGAGAAGGGTCAGTCCTCCCAGATGACCGCTTCCAGCCTGGTGCAGAACTACCGCAAGCGCAAGTTCGCCGAGCTGGAGGCCTGAGGTCCGGGCAGGGCCCGGTGTGGGGCCCTCACGCCAGCCCCGCGGCCCTCATCTGCACCAAGAGGAACTATGAACACGTGAAGCAACGCCGCAACCCCTGGGAAAATCGGGGCTGGTGGTGGCAGTCCACAATTTCGATTTGGACTTGGTACCATGATACTCAGCGGTGCCAAAGGAGGTTCACTGATCTCAGATCACCTGTCTTAATAATGACTTGTTTCAATCTGCCATTACAGATTCCTACCAGTGGTGGAAGGGACTGAGCCTTTGATTAGTCATTTATAAGGTAACATTCAAACCTTTCTGATTTGTTAGGGTAGCAATTCCAAGTTGGTTGAAGAAGAGCCATGTCTGTAAGGCCTGGGACATGCTGTAACACCTTGCAGGAAGCTGTGATTCGCACAGAAGACACTTTAAGACGGCGAGCTTACACTATGACAGTTTGAACTAGGTCAGATTTAATTTGCAGAACAGCAGCTGGGGACCCTCTGTTATGTTTAATTAAGTGGGAAGCTCAAATCTTTTGACCGTGAGGACTGATGGGCAGCCCTGAGGAATGACCAGACTCTTGTGAGGTTATAAATGTGCATTATGAACATATCTTTCCATCTGTATTGTTCGGCAGATAATTATGGAGAAGAGAAGCCCTCACTGATAATTCTTTCAGGTTTGGTTTGTGAAATAGTAATCTAAACCCTCAGCTATTAATTACATATTGCTGTGAAATAATTTTCCTATGTAGAGATAAAAGTGATATGTGTCCGTGACTTGAGTCCGTTTTAAACATCTCAGATTAAATTAGTCTCAATATTAAGATGTTCTGGCGCTCGCACAATGTGTAGACAAGCGAAGGGGCATTGTTCTTTTCCTGCTAGGGCTGAAAGAGCAAATATTAACTCTCAAACTGCAAACCCCTCTATCTGCATTTTGTCAAGTTGGCCTTTTAAAAGGGGCGTCATTACTTAATGTCTTTTTCTGTATAGTAAAAATTAATGGACTGATGATGCTTTGCATGTACAGTAGTAAGAACAACATAAAGACCTGAAGGTCTGCTGAAAAATATGAAGTGGAAGCAATTAAAATTCAAGGAGGCATTCAAAATCTCAGTCTCATGATCTCAAACGAGGTAACAAGTCAAAACCCTTTTGGAGTGAGCTATGTAAACATTTTTTGGATGCCATATTTTCAGTCCACCATAGACAGGATGACAAAGGAAATGTTGAAGAAACAAAATATTAGACTTGCTCCTGGCTTACTTGTGTTCAGATGGTGACAGTCAAAACACAGCAAGCGTGAATGTAATCATTATTCTACTCAAGGATGGTGATGGCGTCTGTCTCGGGCTCCTCAAACCAACCAGGCAGTGCTTGGGAGTGCGAATAATTTGGCCAGGGAGTGCAGATGTTGTTTATGTACTGTAACTAATCCCCCTTCTCCTCATTACTGTTTTGGTGTATCAAGATGTTCTGGTTCAAAGACTTTTTATGACTCGTGGAGCAGTGTTGAGCATTGCTGCCTCACAGCTCTGGGGTGCCGTCTGCAAGGTTTTCCTCAAGACCTGTGATCAATAGGTCTGGGTGCTCTGGTTTTCTCCCACAGTCCAAAGACATTCTGGTAGGTGAAATGGCTTCTGGGAATATTGGCCCTGGTGTTAGTGTGTGTGTGCGCGTGCCCTGCGATGGACAGGCGTTCATCTAATCCTAGTTCCTATTGCTTGCTGGTCAAGGCACTGGCTCCCACATGACCCTATATTGGCTAAAGCTGTTGGAAGATGGGTGGTTTGCAAATCTCGTGTTATGAACATCAACTGTAACACTGGTGAAAATGAGTATAGGAAACTCTATAGTTCTTAAACTACAAGTAGGTCATGCATGTTAGTTACAGGAATACAGAAAAAAAGATCCATTTAAAGGACACAAAAGTGGAAAATATGTACTTCAAAGAACGGAAGACCTTGATGACAAAGTAACACTTTTATTGATGCAATAAGTACTCTTTGTAGAGGGGCATTTTTTTCCCTCTTGTGTTTTGTTGATGATGATCTCTAAAAATCAGTCGGGTTGCTATTTACTTCTGTTTTCTCATGTTTTTTTCTGCCTTTTGTTTCCTTGTATATTCTCGATCAGTACTAAAGAATGTGCCCTGGAAAGATCTGTTTCTTGTGGTTGATTTTGACGTACATCACAACAAGCTGCAGCCATTCTCCTACAACTCTGTCGAATCCTGCGCAGCAAACTGGGTCATATCCCCATGTATTGAGGCAGAATGAAAGCCTGTTTGTATAACTGGCTCTTCGTTTTATTTATAATTTGGGTTCAGATCATACTGTGGCTGCCGGAGAAGACCGCAAGTGCAGTGGATTTCTTTCAATTTGCACGTGGGAGACTGTCAAATTCAGACAGGCACTCAGCTGAATTTCCTCCGAGTGGCTGGTAATGGGGATTTAGATAAACTCTTCTACAGTGGTTCAGCGTCATTGATTAAAACCCTGCTGGCAGATGCAGACAGTTACTACCAGCGCAGACTGTCAACCAGACATCGAGCGTTCAGCAGGGCTGGGAGCCCTGCTTCACTCTTCATGCTCACAGGCCCATGATCAGTAGCTGCTGAACACGCAAGCTCAACTTACAGATAAGCAGATTAGGATCCACTTGAGGCCAAACCAAATACAGGTACTAGCAGTCAGAAAAGGTCCAGGTGGGAGTGCCTGTAATAAAGTCCCTTGCTCTATAGAAGCCTTCTGGTGTAGCTTAAGAGCAATATATATTTTTTTAATCCATATAGCTGACATCCTTAGCTAGGTGACTTCACAACGGGTATCTAATATTCATGCACATAAAAAAAAAGGTAAGTTAATAAAGTGAAGCAAAAGGCTGGCACCACCTGGAAGAGTGATGCAAGTGCTAGTTCAAAATTTGAACAGCAGACGGAGAGGATGCCAGTCATTAATGAAGACAGTCTTCTGGCACATGCTCCACGTTTACAGCAATGAAAGTAAAAAGCACATCATTGTCGGCTTGCTAAGAATATACTGAAAGTCGATTTTTGCACAGCTAGACCACAAGTGCGGTGTGAACAGGTGAAACTCTTGCAGGTGCTGAAACACGGTTGCTGTCGTTCTTCTGGTGCACCGTTTGTGTTTGGGACAGCTCTGAAGTTAACTTCCATTTTGTTTTTGGCAGCACGCTGCCAGTTGTTTATGGAAAGAGCCTAGCCTGGGCGATCCCTCATCAAGAAGGGAAGAAAAGTCCCACAATTTCGATACTATAATATAGTTTATATGGTTCTAATATGGTTTTGTATTACTAGAAGGTGAACTGATACAATTGTGAAACGAATCCCAAAAAGGTACTGGAAAGTCAGCTGACAGTGCTGCTGTAGGACCCATTGTGAAATGACATGGGAGCGCCATTGACAGTGAAGTGGAAGTGCAGGTAAGAGTGAATACAGGAGGCATACAAGGTGTTCCATCTGAAACATGCTGCCCAGCCATGTTGTCGAAGCAGGTTCCCCGAGGTTCTGGAAGAAATGTTTGGATGAGATCCTCGGATCATTTGTCCACTAGCAAGTAAACGATTCAATTAAACAATTAAACTGTGCAGAAGGGCCTCATCCTGTTTGCAGCCTTTCTTGAGCTATTGTGTTCCGTTGACTTCTTATTGCAACAGACTCTAAACGATTCTTACAAAATGCATATTTAGTTAAAGTTTAATTAAGTACATTTTTTTTTTCTTGAAGCACTTTAACTCTAGAGACTGGGGTGAGGTTCCAAATCAGTCAGGTAGATTATTTTTCTTTTCAGATTTGTTTCAATTATCAGAATTTTGACGGTCAGACCTGGTGATCTGGCATCGCGATTTGCTGTATGTGCTGCATGCAAACAGACCTGATCCACTTGAGGTGGTTTAAGTGAAGGTGAACTATTTGATCAAGTCTTGCTTTTCCTCATTTCCCAACCATCCAGTGGCGAGTTTCACAGGTAGGGAGGAGGCTTTACAAAACCTCCAGTACTTTGGAGTGTGAGACATAACCGCGATTGTGTTGCACTTTAATTGACGGTATCCTGTGTTGTTTTCGGGCTCCTTGCATCTTGTGATAATGCAAGTGTTTACACACTGAGAAGCTGAGAGGTGTGTTTGCAGGAAAAGGGAGAGCCTCTATCAAAGGCAGTGAATTATTTTCTTCCTGCTTCACATCCTGTAACAGTCTTGAGGTTGGTTTGAGCTCATAGTGGCATGAGATTTCATGTGGCAGTCATCCCTGAGAATTTCTACAGTAAAGGTTTATTCTCCATTGTCTGTGACATGATAGCCCGTGTTATGTCAAGCACTAACTTTGCCACCGGAGGTGGACCGGGATATTCTGTCATGTTTTGGTGATATAGTATATATATTGTAGGTGTACGATGCTAATTTCTAGTGTTACATTCTTGGACATATTGGTAGGAATGGGGCACTACAAACTTCAAACTTTTAAAATGACATGGTACTCATGGTTTAAACAAATACTACAGTTAACTATGCACACTGGTACATTTACAGTGATGACCAAGCTGCCTTTCTGAAATTCATCCTGCCATTATACATTAATGACTTCTATGAAGTGTCCAAAGGCAGCCTACGGGACAGTCTATATATACCCCTTAATGAAAGACTCATTTGTACTGTCGTTCGGAGTTTTCCATAGGAGGCAGCCATTTTGGCTCTTGTCAAAATGGCTGCTGACTGCTCAATAATTGAGAGCAGGTGTGGGCAGTGATAATCAAGGTTCACCTGAGAAACCCTGTAAAGGAAGGCAGAATGAGAGAGAAAGGGAGTTGGGGGGGGGGAATGTGAGACTTAATTTAGATCTGAAAGGTGAGCCGACTCAATAGTCTGTAGGGAGAACAGGTCTTGTAGGGAGAACACCTGCCTCATGTTAGACCAGGTGAATGGAGCAGAGACCGATCTCGAGAGAGTAGACATACTGTTTTCTTTTTTAGAACAATATAACCTACCAGAACAAAAATGTATGGCTCTGAAGCAAGGCTTCATCTATGGAATAGGGGTTTTGTAAGTGCAAAGCAGGTGGCAGTGGGGCCATGTTTAACTGCAATCTAATTGGACAATTTTCAAAGAGTCACAGTTGTGTGTTTTGGGAAACGTGCCAGAGATTATATGTTTGTATAGCAGCAGATGTAAGATTCTATTTATGCAGTTGTTCATAGCCAAGCTCTCCCCTTAGAAAATCTCAATTGTGGGTAGTGGGAGACTGAGCTGTCAGATGACCACTTCTTAATCTGAACAGTAGGGCTAGATTCCTCACCCCTGGGGGCCCGTCCTGACTGGGGGAGATTGGCCTGTGTGCTTTTCACAACCCCGAGCCAGTGACCTTGTTTAGTCAGCTTGCACTCCCTGGCAGCCCAGGGGTGACATTGAGCTCCATCGCGAGCTGAGTACCCAGGGAGGGAGAGAGGGAGGGCACTGCATGATGCAGCCTGCTCCAGCACTTCAGGGTCAACTTTGTTGTCCATCCTTTTTTTTTCCAACACAGTTCTGCCCTGCAGTCATGTGTGAAATGCAAATCGTCTGTTCCTGTTGATGAGAGCGGAAAATATCGACATTCCAGGCTGGGTTTTAATGATCCGTTGATGTCGGCGTCATTGCAATTGAAGCCCAAATGGCATCCTTCCAAAGGTGGAGGGTTGTTGAGTTTTGCCAAGCTATACTGTATCTGTTCTTTCTGCCGCTCTTAAATTAGAGAACATTCTATTCTGTGTGACCCAACCTGCCCAAGATAGTGGACATTACTCAGTGTGCCTCATCATTTTTGAGGACAGTAAGGTAGTACTGGATACTGTACATACGTTCCAAACAAACCCATAGGTCAAAGATAACTTCCTTTCTCCTGGAGCTTTCACGTACCAAACCTGCAAAAGTGTCAAAGGTCCCATTCCCTACAGCTCTACTGACATCTTCCCATGAAAGGCACCATGAGCGCAGTTAAAGCAGCTGAGGACAACAGCTTTCCTGTGCCTGTTCCAAATGGCTTGCTGGTATTTTTGCAATCTCTGACGTAATGTCCGACCAGGAAATGCAAGAGTATCCTCAATATCAGGGTGGGCTTTCTGCACAGCTCAACCAACTGCAAAATTGGAGGAGATGTAGAAGCTACTGAAGAGCTTCCATGGCTCCAGGATTGTGTTTCCTGCTAGTAGTTTTGTTATTCAGCAGCCACTACCTGTGAACTCTTAAGTAATTCCTGCCTTAACCAGCTCTGCTCTTGCAGTCAGCGGTGCACCAACAGTTGTGGTGTTTTAGGAGAACATGTACAGTATACATCAGCCTTCTTTCCCCATGGCATGTTAAGGAAAAGCTCTGGAATGCGACATGGTTGTTTTAGTTCTGTTTCCAATGCAATAAGCAGATTGTTAGTGTTCTGTAAGATGAGCTCTGGTATAGGCTAATATGTGAAGTTGTAAGGTTTTGCCTAACTTCTAGCAATGACTAAGGGAGATTGTCATGTGGTCAATTCAACTATTACTTCATCTGTATCCTTATGGAAATAACCTACAGATTTGTAGAGTAATAACCTAGTTTTTAGTAAAGAGTAAGATATTTTTGTGAAGGCAGAGCAAATAGTAAAGTGGTAAAAAATACATTTGGCTTTTTTTAAGGGTATTTCCAAGATGCATGTCAGAGAAGGATCCACTACAGTCAGCCATTTACATTCACAGGTAATCTTCAAATTTAATGTGTGCCTGTGTGTTTTTATTTTTAAGTTCCAGTGATGAAAAATGACTTGTGTGGCCAAAGTGGTTTACAGAATGTGAGAGCTCCAGGGTTTTCTGTGTTTACTATATAAAGTGTGGTGAATATTGGGGAAATGGAACGCGCTTAAGACAAGGTGATAAAAAGCAGGGACTTGACCTCCAGCTGGTGATCTGGGCTCCGTTGTGATCCAGAAAGTGTTTCATGAGAGTAGGAGATGTTTCCAGGGGTATTCTGCTGGTTGTTTTGGAAGTTTGTCAGTTATAGACCATGCTGTACTAATGTAGCAACAGTAGGCACATGCCTGTTGTGTTTTCAAATTAAGTACAGCACAGACAGGGAGATCTTCTTTGTCAGCTGTTGCAGAACCTTTTCTATTATTTAGATGATCCACTTTGAC